CAGTCTGGGTGACAGAGTGAGACTCCAACTCAAACAAAACAAAACAAAACAAAAAAACCCTTAAACTGGGTAATTTATAAACAACAGAAATTTGTTGTTCAGTTCTGAAGGTTGGAAAAATCCAAGCTCAAGGTGCCAGCAGATTCAGGGACTGGAGAGGGCCCCATTGATCATAGATGGTGCCTTCTTTATGATGGGAAACCCTTGAAAAATCAGAATTATCTTTTGGAGGACAAGCCCCTTGTAGTACAGGCTTCCCCCACCAGGTATTCTAGGAACCAGCTAGCGTTGTTGGGAGAGGCTGTGTTCAGCATCACTGAATTTTTTTTGGAGATTCTTTCAACACATTTCCCCCTTTCATGACGGGTGATTTATAAGTGTACCTGCCCACACTATGCTGAGAGTTCAGTTTTTGACCCCAAACAGCAAGACCCCTGTACTCCATTCTCCCTATTTACCTGATCTCGCCTTTAGTGATTTTTTTGTTTGTTTCTCCAGATGCAAGAAAGTCCTCAAAGGGAAACATTTTGCCAATGTGGAAGAGGCGAAACAAAACAAACAACAAAAAGGCAGAATCACTAAAAGGCATCAAAATCGACAAGTCCAAAAATTGCTTTGATTGTTGAAGGTGACTGAAATTTAAACATATGCGAATACACAATCTTTGTAAATAAATACCGGTTTTTTGCTCTTCCTCCGGATGTCCACACATGATGGAAGGGACTATAAAGGCCTTTTAAAAATATAACGGCACTAATCCCATTCATTAGAGCTCTACCCTCATGACCCAATCACCTCCCAAAGACCCCATCTCCTAGTATCTAGCATTGAGCCACCTGAACACCTTGTAAAAAACAGGCTCACTAGGAGGGCCTCCTGGAAATCCTCATTTGTCAGATCCAGGGTAGATCTGACAGGCCGCGTCTACGCAGGCTCAAACCGGGTCACAGGAAGCGGGGCTGGATTGGGGGGCGTGGCTTTGCTCTTTTGCAGGTTTGGCAACTCCCGGCTTACGTCTTTGGAACAAATGTCCAGTGGCTTCTGTTGGACAACCCTACACCAGGGGATGGGGCTCTGCAACCACAGGCACTAGAGAGACG